TTTTTCAATAAGAAGTTCATGATCTGAGCCACAGTCAGCCCCAGGTCTTGTTTTAACTGATTCTGTAGAGCTTCTCTACCTTTGGCTGCCAGGTATAAAATCAGTCTGATTTCGATGTTGACTGTCTGGTAATGTACATTTGTAGAGTTGTCTTTTGGGTTAAGGCCCAAAGGTGTTAGAACCTGAATGACCAGTATTACAGGTTGGAATAAAATATACATCTTCTGATTTTTGAGCTGGTGTTCTTTTGAATGTACCAATGTATCAAAGAGGAAATTATTTTTAAAACTTGGGGGGCGGGGGGAAGACAGTATTAATCATTCAGAATGCCAAACAAGAATGCATTTATGTCTCTCTTCTCTATAAAATATTTTTGAATGTGGTTTTCACCAAGGATATTCTTTATGAAGACATGTAAAGGGAATAGGCAGGCTTTCAAAAATGATTTTCTACTATAGCCCTCATCTTCACTCAAAGAACTGACTGAAGTACATAGAGAATATATGATTCTGATATGTTTATTATTTATCACAAAGAGCATTTGACATGGTAGAGCAAATATAAATCTGGGGACTCTCTTCACCTCTACAGTGAATATGTTAAAATCATAAAAAAATATGAATGTCAGAGAGCCAACTTTGTTTAGCAATCCTCTGAATATCACTATCAAGCAAGGCATAAAACAAGGAGATGTATAGCAAAGATGTTAATAAGTGTCATGGAGAATGCCCTTCACATAGTCCAAATAGAAGAGTAATTCCTTTTAAAGGCGAAGTTTTCCAAATTTCCTTTGTCCATAGTACTGTGCTTATTGCATTAAGCCCCAGAAGAATATAGGGCCTCCTCAGTGAGATCCGTGGTCATTAGAGAGAGATAGGCTTGATAATCCATACAAGAAAAAAAAACAAACTAGGTAGATAAAGAATACACACATACACACACACACACACACACACACACACACACACACAGAGCACAGCACAAGTGGGACTATACTTTTCAGTAAAGAAGATAGGAAATTCCATGTCTTAAGTGTGATTTTCATTTATTTAAAATATTTTGACTCCATTAACTCAGATCTTTATGTTTAAACATAAGTTCAGAAACTTTCAGAATACAAACATGAGTGATCTGTTAACTATTTAGACAACTGGGAGTTAGCTACAACTTGAAAATTAACAGATATACTATTTTGAAGAGAAGAAGACATGTTGTTTATTCTTTCGATCCACATTAAATATGTTTATTCAACAAACTAATTGCTAACATATGATTTTTAAAAAAGGAATTTTAAATATATACACAGTGTCCCAAATTAAGTTTAATAAATTAATTTTATTACCAGGCAAGAATTTATTACAATTATTTAAAATACTTCTTGGAAACATATCTTTTTATATCAGCTAAAAGCTTATAAGTCAGTGATTTATACATAAGTCGATTTCTGCATTGACTCATGTAGAAAAGAATTTTAGAAGAGGATAGTGGCCTTTGAAAAGAATCTTTATTCTAACTTTTTTTTTTTATAAATTCATTTGAGTTTAATTGGACATTGCTGTTTAGAAGCAGTATGCTAAGATTTGGATGAGATGCAAAGTATAGCTAAAACATGCCAAATTATGCCCCCAAAAGATAAAAGGCCTTTGTACAATATGTCCTATATAAATAATTATTATAAAAATATATAGTGAAATCTGAAAATATGTTTAATAAAAATGTATATATATATAGCCTATATCTGATTATGTGCCATCTTGGGGAGGGTGGTGGGAAGGAAGGGGGAGAAAAATTTTAAAGTCAAAAGCATATGGAATTGATTGTTGATAAATCAAAATAAATTAATTAATATATATATAGTGAGATCATATTTTTGAGGAACTTTGGGACACAGAGGTTAATTCCTTGTCCATAGTCATATAGCTAGTTAAATCAGAACCAGGACTGTAAATCAGGTCTCCTAACTATTCCGTGCTTTTTGCTTTTGTGTTTAAAATGTGGATATCACATATTTCTAAGAAAACTACCCTCATCAACTAAGTGACCACACCAAATTTCAAATAGCTAGTCTACCTTTCAGCATTGCTATAACACGACTAACAAAATATTGTGTTTCTAAAAATTAGCATAATGGACAAAGAATTAACTTACTTTAAGAAATGCAACAAGGGTAATAGATGTGTATGTGTATGTATACACACACATACTACTACTGTCCCTTCACAGACAAAGCTGTGTGTATGTGCCCATGTGCCAATCAAGTTTGTCTATCAAGGGTGAAAAGTATGATTTTTTTTTTCAGTTAGCAAATGTTTTATATAAACTTCATCTAAAATACATTGGAAAATAAAGGAAAAAAGAAAAAGATGATTAAAAACTTATACATGTGAGTATAAATTCACTCAGTTGTACTGAGTTCCTCCGTGGAGCATCTGAAAGGATATTTTCTCTCTCCTCTTCATCTTTTAAAATGAGACTGAGATAAGGATTAAATCCAATACAAAAGCACCCATTTAATAACTATGCACTAACTTAAAAAAAAACTATAGTTAATGATAAAAGACAGTGTGACTAACAGATTCACTGGGGATTGTGCTGGTGACTGGACCAGTAAATGTAAAGTACAGGTTAATGCTGACAGATGTAAAAGCATTAAGTCAGAGGGCAGTGAACCAAAATAGAAAGTCCATATTAAATGGAGCAGCCGTGTAGCATCCTGTCCAGAAAAACAGATTTAAAGGTTATTAGAAATCTTTGAAGCCATTATCACCATAGAGCAATTCTAGGAGATAAAAGTAAGGTGGAGATAGAGTAGGATGCATACACAGTGGCATAAAGTGTAGGCACAGATATGAAAAGGGGATAGGGATACATTAAACTTTTGAAGTAAGTGATTTGACTACTTTTACCCCAGATATAAAGTAGGGAAATTTTAGACACCATATAATGTGAGGGTTTCAATGTCTTTACATGTATTCACTTTTTAAATCCAATGAGCCACTACAGACAACTTAATGTTATAGATCAACACAGCCATTTAGATTTGCTTTACGACTATTTATATTTAAATAAGTTTATTTAAACACATAACATACAATAATTTTTCAGTTACCCACTTCATCCAAACTCCACTCAGTTCAATTCAACAAGCATTTATTAAGCATCTTCTTGTACAGGGCAGGTAATATGTGCTGGTGATACAAAGACATATACACATACATACATACATACATACATACATACAAAATATAGATAGAGAAACAAAGCTAAAAGTAGTTACTAAAAATCGAGAGGATCTCAAAAGACCTCTGGTTGGAAGTTCCACTTGAGCTGACATATATATGAATAAGTTCTGATAGACATAATTCTTGTTCCTTTTCTTCTAGCCCCTGCCCACCTTCCTATTTCCATCTTGTTAGAAGTATAAGTGATGTCCATAATCCATTTTTGAAAAATTAAGGATTGTCTTTATATACCTTTAGTCTTAATATTCAGCTACTAGAAATTATTCTTTTTTAAAAGTAGAAATAATTGAAGTATATATTTTTAATACCTACTGTAGTCATTCTTATATTTAAAAGAGTAAGTTGAAATCCAGAGTAACCAAGTGACTTGTCCCACCTCACACAAAAATCATTAGCCAAACTTAAATTCAGCTTATTAGCTCCCAATTCTGCAGGCTATATCTGATTACTGAATTATGCTTTTTTTCTCTGAGAGAGGGGTAAACTGGCTAAAGTTTGCTTTTAATGAAGACTAAAAGACTTCATCAAGATAAAAATTTTTTTTGTTATTATAGCCCTTGTTGATTTTCATGGGTAATGTAAAATTTTGAAAATGATGGTGGACATTTTAAAATTTAGATGGCCATTTTGTCACTAGAAGTTACATTATCATTATATCCCAAGTATCATTATCATATACTTTAGTGATTTTATCCTATGGTACTAATTTATGATGGAGTCTTATTCTTTTGATATATATCTGCCATACTTTGAATATTTAAACTTCCTTATTAAAAAAAAGTTCAACACAATTCTGCTGTTAAGACATTGAGTTTCCAAGTGAAAAATGCCAGTAGAATAGACATCTGAAATTTAAGCCTCCATAACATCAGCTCCATCTAGTTTAGTGAAATGAAAAATAAAATTAAAATGCACAGGTACTTTCATCTAGGGATCAAGGCACTTTACTAATGTCAAACACCTATATGAAGTACACGCATAAAGAAATGTCTTTTCCTCCCCAAAGGTTGATGTAAAAACAGATTGTCTAATTTGACTTTAAAAATCAGACTCTTTCTCTCTCCTCTTCTTCCTTCCCTTGCATTCCTAGGTTAAGTTTTAGTTTCCTGATTTCTCTAACTTATAATTGAATGGCACAGATGTCATTAATTCAACTTTTGTCCATCCCCACTTTTCATACAAAAATTTACTAGATATTCTCCCCTCCATCAGTCTGTCATTCAACAAGCGTTTATCAAGCACATACTTTCAGCCATCAGCTAGGTAAAAGCTAGGCATTATAGAAGGTACTATTCGGTGGGAATAAGTGATACTGTGCCCCACCTGTCAAATAAGTATGCAATTGGAATGAAATATTGTCTGTATGCGAATGTACTAGCTATGCTCCATCCTTTATAGCGAGCATAGCCAGAACCACTATATTCATAATCAAGTGGAGTTATCCACGTAGTGTTTTGGTCTGAGACTCTTTCTAAGGAGTTTAGTTACTGGTTTACTAGAGGTCTATAGATTAGCAGTATAATTAATCTGTCTTGTACAGTCTTAATATCTTAATGATAATTATATCTAATGTTTACATTATACTTTGAGATTTGCAAAGTTCTTTATATTTTCTCATTTGATGGTGTCCTAGTTTACTTGAAATGATGGCTGCCATAGAAAAGAAGTTGTCCTCTTTACTTCTATGCCATGAGTTGTTGGTGTGAGAGAAATGAAGAATACTGACCTCACCATTTTATTTCACTCTGATCCTTTTAGGTATTCCAACCTGATTTTGAACTTGTTTTCCCTTATGGTGGATGCCAACATTCCAGATATTGCTCTTGAACCAGATAAGACTGTAAAAAAGGTAATTGTGAAGGTTTTTACCTTAAACTATATTGACATATGAAGCCTTGGAGACAATGCAATTTATAACTCCTTAAATGTTGTCTAGGTTTCTGTATTAGACACTAATGGAATATGTCCAGTCATTTTCTTTTCCATTAGCCCAAACCAAACATATGTGGTTTACTTTGCTTGCATGTTACATATTTTAATATAATCTCATTTATCTTAGCATTCATTTTTATTGCTACAGAAATTAACTTTGGAAATGTGGTTTTTTGTTTGTTTGTTTGTTTATTCCTCAGTCCTTGTAGTTATATTGTGATTCAGGATCCCACAAATACTTTTATCCAACTTGTAGGTGTTTAAGTAGAGAAGCATGTTTCTGCCAACAGCAAATAGACTATTCATGACACTGGCTTTTGATATGCTTTGTTTTCTATAATTTTATTTTTTGTCATTGACTGTAGCTCATCCATCAAAAAGTATAATTGGCTGATATAAATTTCCTTTGCCATACTCAGCTGTTATACCAGATTTCAAAAGTTTCCATCCTTTTGGCATCTGCTGCCTTTATGGTCTATCGTACTGCTTATTTTCATCTCATTCATCTCTGTCATGGCTTCATTGTTCCTTGAATTGATTTTACTCATTTTTGTTTTGAGGTCTTTTATAAGAATCTTGACAGTATTTGTCAACTGAAATCTCCCAATTTCTTCTGCCAGTCAAGTTACAGTGCTCTTCTTTATTAGTTCCATATCTGTTTCCATTTGGGGAAGAAAATCCTTTTATTTGTAAATGTGAAAATACTCTTTTTTCCAGCTCTTTGATTAGTAATGTTATTTATTGTAAAATTCTGTGGATTTTTTTTAATTTGACAATTTATAAAAGAAGAATGTGCTGTAGTACTTTTTCTTTTGCTATGCATCTTCCTAGTGTCTCTTGTGTTTCTGGTTCCATTAAAAGGATTTAAAAACATAATTTCAGCTTTTCTGCAAAGAGAACATTTCAAAAAGACAATTGTTTTCTGCTATATGTATATATTTTATTGATAACTAAAATCCTATAATTTTCCCATTAAAATCATAATGATGTAGAAAATGTGACAGGATATTTTTAAATGTATTGCATCACAAAATGTGTGTTTTAACAATAAATAGTAATAGTTCCTTTTGATGAAATGAACTTGTTGGCATTCCTCATAGAACCTAGTTTTTCTAATAATATTACCAATAGACTGCAGTTCCTGTAAGTAGCATTTGCCTCAAGCCAGCCTATGCTATTTGATAGAGCTTTGCTTTGGCCTCATGATTGGGTTGGATTTATAAGGTGATTAGATCTTGACCTCCCTTGTTGGCTACTTAAATTTCATTCATTGTTCTCAAGGATGTAGGAGCAAAATACTAAGTTTTGTAATATCTTTTGAAAACTGCAAGTTATCCATAGCACTTAAAGTAATGTGACCAAGTTTATTTAAGTTGAGAGGCCTTTGAGTAAAATAAATTTGTTTGATCAATATGACCTTGTAAAACTCACTTAACATCTGAACTTCACTTTTCTCATATATAAAATGGAAGTAATAATAGTTTCAGAACTACTTTGTTTCTTTCACTCAGTTGTTGTGAGGATCAAATAAGACTGTGTGAGAAAGTGCTTTGTAAACTATAGAGTGATATACAGTTTTAAGAGACTATTATCATTCTAGGACATTTGCAAAGTTGACATGTAAGTGTATCAAGATTGTTTGCCCTTATTGATTCTCATTTTCTCTATATGTTGGTTTTTACTACCTATTATAGTCTAATTCTTATAAAATTATAATCCATATTTATGCTGTGTGGTATTTGATATATAACCAGAATAACTCATTTATTAGAATGTCCTCTTCCCCAACCATATCAGGTCACAGAATTTCAGGCATTTAGCGTACCATCATCATTGATATTTGAATACCTCATACTGATGGGACATTGGGTGGCTAACCATGAAATAATACTTCAATATTTAAATGAATTTTTACTCCTTCCAACTTTGTATAACCCCTTCAGTCATATAAATGGTAGTTCATCATCCACCAGCTTTTTTTTTCTAACCAAGAAAGTTATGGAGAAATATTTCCTACCTTTAAGTTTATAATTTAAAGTAGAGTAGTATCATGGAGAAAGGATATACAGACAATCTAATAAAATTAAATAAGCAGCAAAATATTTTATGGTATAGCTAATGCCTGTCCTGTAGCTTATATCTGTTAATTTGCAAATTAGTAAGTTGTTTTGGAGACTATCCTATTCTCTTTTAAATAAGTTAATTTAACTGTTTAATGCTGTTTACAGAAGCTGTTATTAGCACATCAAGACAATACCAAGCTAAGTGATATGCTGTGCTTTATATTGAGGTTTCTTCCCCACACTCTTTCACCTACCTGTTTTGTTCTAATGGGGGCACTTATGTAAAAATGAGCCATTAGGTTGAAAAGGGAGTTTTGGGCGTAAACAGTCTACTGATTTACAGGTCCTCGATGGATACACCAAGTTAATGAACTTTAGCTATGGCCTTGTAGATGACATCAAAATAAGAACATACTTTATAAAACTGGAAAGTAATTTTAGAAGCAGAAGTATTCCATAAATATATAAGGTACAAGAGAGAAACTATCAACTCTTCACTTAAATTCAAGAGGTCACTTTTTAAGATTAATTGAATAGCCAAGAGACATCATAGTAGTCTGGTTTGAAGAAAGAAGGTTCGAGGCATTTAACAGGAATGAGAGTAAGATGAGTTAAGGAAGGAGTCTTTAAAGAGATAAACCTGAGATGGCAAAAAAGAAGAAGAAGAAGAATTATGTCCTAATAAGGAATTTTTTTTCTTCCCTTTTGATTAGCGTAAAACTTTGCCAGTGCTCCAATAGATCGGTAACCTCATTGATAGAAATAGTTCGCTGATAATATAGATCACAACCTATCCATGCATATCCACCTTATGAAGCATATCTATTATGTTCTCCCATATAGTAAAAAGTAGAGAAATAAAAGGTGTTAATACTGCAGTAGGTTAAAGTGCTGTGCTATTATATTGTATGAATTGTTTAATGGTATCATTAAGAAATCAGATATTCTTGTTAGGACACTATACATGGAGTATTGGTTTTCAAAGAACTACTATTGGATGCACAATCAATTGGAGTGTAACAAAATGAGTAGTAGATGTTTTAAAGACAGATTTTACCCTCAGGGTACTTAAATTTTCCTGTGATTTAAAAAAAATACATATGGAGGCTTCATATAGAAATGCTGAGATAGAATATAGGTCATAATATATTTCAATCATAAGGAATGAGCCTTTCAACCTTGTTGAATAATAAGTTTGTGCAAAGTCACTTAATAAGATAATACTATATCTTTTTGTAGAATTAAATAGGTGTTTTCAGCTTCTTAATCGATATTTCTAAGCTTTAAACAAAAAATCTTTACATATATTTCAAGCAACTCCAAATTAGCTAAAGATCCATTTCCGACTGACCTGTAAAATTAAATTACATTTGGTTAGGTCAGTAGCCAGTCAGACTATAATATCACATTCATGAAAAGCTTAGCAATGTATTTTTTGTTTGTTTCACTAATAGCTATGTCATATTACAGGTGAGAGACTTCATTTGCTTTTTTTTTTATAGTTAAAGCTTCAATCTTAATGATATTTGTTTCTGTTTCAAATGTTCTGTATTTTTAATTCCAGGCTTTTTTCAAGACAGGAGAAAAAATTATCTAGTTCAGCTAAAATAATCAAGTGAACTCAGCAAGAAAATGATGTTTAGATTAAAACTGTCCTTTTAACCTGATGAATGAAAATTGGGGTAGGGGGTTGTTGTGGAAGTCCATAATCTTTTCAGTAAGTGAACTTTAATGGAAAGTGTTCTGCTTTAATTGTTTAAATAAAAGGCACTCTTACTTGAGATACAAAATATTAAATTATTTCAAGTGAAAGTTTTATTCCTTTTGTATTAGTGGATGTTAAATAGTGTTTTCAAATACTGTATTTTTAGCTTTGTAGACAAAATGGTAAAAATTGGTTTTAAACAGTGAAATAACTACTTTTTAGGAAAGATAATGAAGTTAGGTCTGGAAATACATTTCAGTTTTTTGTTTGTAGTAAATAAACTTATGTATTAGGTATGTAGACCTGAAAGAGCAGATATACAGATCATCCTACTATCATAGGCAGATTGAATGTTCTTTATAAATAAGAGAGATATTTTCTAAGTGTCCAGCCTAATATAATATTTTAATAACAAGAAAATTGCCTACTTCTGAGGCAAATCAGGGATTTCAGGCTACTCTTTCTATATTCAAAGTCAAGTAATGTAAGTTAGTTCCTAGAAATGAAAAAAGATGGCAGATATCTGATCCTGAGTGAGGGGAAAGTAAAGATGATCTTTAGGCTCCCCACCAATGTATATGTATTGGGTAGTTATGGATTGACTGTAGGAAAATCAAATTCCAAGTGAGGTGAGGCTGCTTCTTTCCTGACTTATTAAGTAATAGCTAGTTCTTGAATATGGTACCCATGAGAATCATCTGAGATGGATTTACCTCTTATTGCCAGAAGTACAAAACTTTAAAGAGAAAAATGTTACCCACTCAAGATTTGGCTAAAAAGCAGGATCTGATAAATCAGGGCTGTTTAGTCTTGAGTATCATCGTCTTTCCAGTAATGCTTTAACTCCCTAGGGATGAGCTATTAGAATATAATTTTATAATCAACCTCTACATCTAACTGAAAGCAAATTGCCTAGTTATTACTTCTGTCCAATAGCTTTAAAATGTGTTAGTTGAAATATGTGAATAGCAAGTAGCAGTTTGTTCATGTCTAACTTCCTACAAAATTAAGTACAGATTATGTAATTTGACATAGTTTATATATATGTATATATATCTATATAAAACAAGAGAACGTCATTGTGAACTCATCATGGGGAAAAAAAAACCTTGAATTTTTTTTCTTTTGTTCAAGAAGAATAAAGTCCTG